ATTGATTGGATTATATAATGGATGTAGTTGGATTGAACCAAAAAATTAGGGTTATAAAAAGGAAAGCTTTTAGGGAGAGGGCCGAGAGGCGGCTTTTTGACGACGCAAAGAGCCATTTTTTCACTCCATTATCTCGTGGAATCTTCAAAAGCACTCTTTTTTCATTTCTTGTTCTTCTTCACTTTTTAATTTTAAACTAATGACAAGGTATTTCTACTGTGCTATGTGGAAGATGGCGTATAAAGAATGAAATAAGACCAAAAACATGTTGATTCTATAAATATAAATATTTTTAAGATTCGTTTATTTTTTTAACGTAAATATAAAACTAATACTCCGCGACTATATAACATATAATCAATCATATATCTTTGTACGGTTTATGTTAACGTGGATTCATTGTAGTAGGTTGTATGATACTGATCATAACAGAAAAGATAAGACATAAAATAATATCTCACATATTTCATATGACATAACTAACTTATATTTGTGAATCTTAACATGTTTACCACAAAAACTTATATTTGTGAAACATTTCTTTTTTGCTTATATAAATTAAGAGACATTTAAAAAAAAACTTTATATAAATAAGATTTTAAACTCGTATTCTTAGAAAATAGAAAAAAAAAGACTACTACATTGTATGTCAACTTTTTTTTGGGTCGAAACAATGTATCTAAATTAACGGTGACTTTTTACGTAAGAAAACAAAGCTACTTTTCCAAATTTTTATCTAAAGAAAAGAAAAGGAAAGATTGTTTGAAATGAGGATGGATTTTTTTTTTTTTTTGGTTTTATGAGGATGGATTGTTGTTCGAACAGAAGAAGTGATATGGAGATCTTATGAAGTGGGACACATTTTACTAAAAATATACTTTCGACCAACCATCAATGGCCAAACAAATGCTTGTGGTCCACGTCACTCTCCCTTCTTTTTTCTGACCACCCGACTCTTTTTTATTCATTTTTAAATATTTTAAGTTTAAAAATATTTTTCACGACCTATATCATCAACAAACCTCGCTCACAAGCTTTTTAAAAATAAATGAACAGGTCACGAAAAACCGAAAAGATATATCATCATTTTTTTCTAATAAGATTAACTAATATACGAATAAGCTATGTAATGCTTATCTTGAACTCTATATTTGATTCATAGCTGGCATGAAAAGAAACACATATATTTGATTCATAAGTGTTTTTTTCAAAAGAAGATATAACAATTTTTAAAGTAATTATTCCCCTCTTCGCTAACCACAAAAGAAGAAAATGGCATGCAAAATTAAAAGTTTCTGTTCCGCGATATGAGGATTTTTAATGAAAGATCTTCTTGAATTTTGGGACATGAAAGTGGGGCTTTATTTCATCCTCTCAACTTTCAGTTTCGTCCATTCGTTGAATCTAATTCGTGTCTAATCATGAATTTAATGTTGTGGAGCTAATTTTTCTTTATGGAGCTAATTGTACTGAACGAATCTCTTTACATTTTAATTTGCGAATAAAAAACAGAATAGTTTGGATAAACATGAGTCC